CAACCCAGTGAACAAGACAATACAAAAAAACAATGTATCTGTCAATAACAGCCCTTGATCAAACAAAAGTTACCTGTCTGGTGCCCAAGATCTGTATCTCTCTCCAGGCTGCTTGAAGTTATTCTCCTTGTCAATTATGCACTGGCATAACCAAAGACAGTAAGAGCAATCTCAACAGGTTAGCAATTAGCATACTCGCTAATCAAACAAAGATGAAACAAGTTGATGTCAAAGGATTAACAGGGTACAATTATGATCACTGACCCTCTCACGCTTTCCAGTGCAGACAGCAGGTGGATGAGGGTACCTCTCAGCATGACGAGCAGGATCAAACCTTGACGGGAAGTAGTTGACCTAAACTAGGACCAATGTTAATGACCAGAACAATCCAATTGGCAAGCAGCAGTAAGGAATATACTCAATATGCTAGGAATTGAGCATGATTAACTTAAGCCATTATATCGAAGCAACGACTAAAACTGCACATTGTACCTCCTCATCTCGGTGCATAAAGTTCATGAAACCCTCATGGTGGTTGTTGTGGTGAGCACACTTGGGTGCATTAGCAGGGAGTTGCAGATAGTTTGGTCCAAGTCGGTGCCTCTGAGTATCAGCATAGGAGAAGATCCTGGTCTGAAGCAATTTGTCATCTGAATAGTAGACTCCAGGAACTATAATGGCAGGACAAAAGGCAAGTTGTTCATTCTCTGCGAAGAAGTTATCGATGTTCTTATTCAAAACCAAGCGACCAACTGGCTGCAGGGGCAAGATATCCTCAGGCCAGGTCTTGGTTACATCTAGAGGGTCAAAGTCGTGCATATCTTCGTGATCGGGGTCGATAATCTGAATGAAAAGCTTCCACTCAGGGTAGTTGCCAGCTGCAATTGAATCATAAAGGTCCTGAGTAGCATGGCTATGATTACTTCCTCCAACTCGGATAGCCTCTTCCTCCAGCAGAGATTTGACTCCACAGGTAGGTTTCCAGTGGAATTTCACATAGTGTGCTTTGCCTGCCTTGTTAATCAGAGTGTAAGTGTTAACACCTGAACCATCCATGTGCCTGTAATCTTGTGGGATACCGATATCATCAAATAGAAATGTAAACATGTGCAGGCTTTCTGGATGGTGAGAAAAGAAGTCGAGAACCCTCCAATTCTCCTGGATGTGGGACTTGGGATTTGGTTTGAGAGCATGTACCATGTCAGGAAATTTCATACCATCACGGATGAAAAATACAGGGAAGTTGTTGCCCACAAGATCAAAATTACCCTGAGAATAAAAGAAAAAAGAAGCTTCAATTTTTCATTACCATGAGGTCACAAAAACAAAGCATAATAAAGGCATGTATTTACATGAGCAAAAGGAAATATGCACAAAAGATGCAAGTTCTAAGCTAATAAAATCACGTCATATAATATGCCAGCGGAAATATAAAATATTGTGTACTTCCTGCTAATAGTACATAATATTATATAATCAACTGATAAAAACATTAGCATTCAACCTAAAGAAGTACATCCATAAGTGCAAACCAACTAAACATAAGTTCAAAACATATAATCACAACTATAATCACGACCGTTGCATTTTTTGCCTCTTTTGATTAGAACTGCCATAATGATAGATATCATAAGAAGTTATAACTTATATTCCATCAATAAAGCATAAACTAAAAACTCTCACCTCCCTGGTGTAAAACTTCACAGCAAAACCTCGAGGATCTCTCAGTGTTTCAGGGCTGCCGCGCTCATGGATAACAGTGGAGAACCGCACAATAACTGGAGTCTGAACTCCAGGGGCTCGAAGGAAGTCGGCACATGTAAGGTGGGCGATATCATGAGTGACCTCAAAAAACCCTTTTGCACTAGCTCCTCTAGCATGGACAACACGCTCTGGAATCCTCTCCCTATCAAAATTAGCAAGTTTCTCCACCAGATGATAATCCTCAAGGAGAATAGGACCTGCCAAAATAAAACAATTTTGAGTATTTCCATCTATAGTCATCTCCCGACGACGAAGGATCTGCCACGCATAAACATTTTAGGTATTGTCATCTGTAGTCATCCTTCTAAGATGAGTGGCACAGGATTCAGACCTTTAGACCAGAAATTTCATAGAATTAAGATGTGCATAAAGCCTATTGCAGAAGATATTTTCCAAGCAAGAGCAATAAAATCATCCACGCGAGTATGTGAAGAATTGCTACCTTTTCAGGGGCTCTTTCTGACTATGTTGTTCTTCAACATTCAACAACCATCAAAATATGCACCATCATATTTTACCAACCGATCTGTATTACTATTAGAGTAGCAATACAGGATTATTTATTTTTATTTTTTATTTTTTTTGATATCCGTGTGTCCGGGCCAGCTTGCGCGCACCTCGACTATTCACGGGCCAACCGCCTAACCCTACTACATTTGGTTGACAAGAAAACTCGTAGGATATTAAATCCAAGGTAGGTGGCCACCATGGTTTGAACTCATTTGGTTGACAAGCAATCCAGGATTAATAAGTGGCAATATAGATCTTTCATCGGACTAAGATTACCCCATCAAATCTTGATGACCATCTCGACTTGGCAGAAGTTGAGAAGAGATCTTGAGCTAAACCTACTCTCTCAAAGACAAAAATAGGTTTTATTTATTCTTTTATAGTCAGAGTATTGACGCCCACTCCTTACATAAGCTCATGGTCCCACCTCACAAATCCAATAATTTTCACCCATCCGAAGGCCACACTCCCAAAAGACAGTTGGAAATTTTTTTAGTACCTTGTGAGCACCATAATCCCTTCTATTCATTGCTTGCTATGTCAGCATCGTATTAAAGATAATGTGGGGTCTACCAACATAAAAAAATTATTTATAAATACAAAATCACAGTATGAACAAAGGGAGTATGTACCCTCTTGGTCGAATTTTTCCCAGGTTTTTAAGTTATTAAGTTTTCAACTGGATACTCCAAACATCCCCAGTCAGCCACAGCACCCTCTGAGGGTGGCTTCTTTTTTTATTTGAAAAACTCGCAGCTATATTCAACTTTGCCATATGAATTAAACACAGCAAAAATTAGGACACACGTCCCTAAATTTTAAGAACAGCTTCACAGAGTTCCAGCTAATAAAATATTAAAACTATTACCGAACGTAAAATGACAAACGCACACTGTTAAGGTATTATTGCTAATGTTTCAACAACTACGTCAAAAACTGTAATATCAGAAATCAATTCATACCCCTGGATCCAACAGTCAACGACGAGTTATTGTTCCACACTGGAGCACCAGAATTCGTAGTCCAGAAGGGGGTGTTGAAACCACTTGAAGGGCGATTCTGCACCATGCGAACAGAACAAACAACTTAGCCAATACATACATAGCAAAGAAATTAGCTCAACATCATTCCCGCTTCATAAATCTTCGCCGATAAAACATATCGGAATATTTAACAATAAAAAACCTCTCAAACGTTCCGTGCCGTCCTTCCCGGTAAACGCAAACAATTTCAACCACCCCCAACGGAAAAGAAGAAAAAGAAGAAACCCATTTGTGGATGAGTAGAAACACTTGAAGATTAAGAAAATTAAGAAGAAAAAACTTGCAGCAATTTCGATACAATCAAGGACCGAAAACGCAGCGTTGAAGAAAACAAGTAAAAACCCCCATTAACAAGCATCGAAACATATCAAACTGGAATCCAAAAAGATTAGAACGTGAAGGCGAGTACCCTGTAAGGATCCATTGCACGAGAGAGGATGAGAATCGAGAGGCTGGAAGACGACCTTCGGAATTTGGAATGGGCTTCGATCAAAGAAGAGAAGAGCTTTAACGAGGATTTTATAAAGCAGCACCCGTGGCTTGCGCTTTTTTAATGGCGTCCCCATCTCCTCGCTTTAAAACTTTATATTATTATTATAAAAAATTTCATCGTCATTTTATTCTTCGCCACACGTCCCAATAACCGCCCCCCTCTCTTCAGTTTCTCGCGTTTTTTCGTGCCGCTTCCACGAGAAAATCAATTATTTTTCTTCACATGAAGATAAATTATTTATCTTAATTGTTTTCAATTAGGATAGGTTTGGCTACTAATTTAGTATAATAAAGTGGAAATTTAATTTATTATCACTTTAATTTTGAATACTAAAACACGGCCTTAGAATTTCTTTTTTTGCTTAAGAATAGAACGATATAAGAGATGATTGGGAGATATGATCTTTAAAAAAAAATATATTATTTGAAAAAAATAATAATTCTTCCAATTATATCTATGCACCCTACTTAATTGAGGATTCCTTGCCACATTTGGACAGGTCCTCACCAAAAATAAATGACATTTAGAGGGATAAAAACCAATATGTACCCATCAATTTGTATTTTTTTCATTTTAATTTTTTATTTATAGGGTGAAAAGATATAATTATATAAATATTACGAATTTAATGTGTTAGCATATTTTCTCACCATGTTAAGTCAAGTTTTTTTATTAATGATTTGTTATAATTTGGTATCGATATTACTTAATCCTAGTGTGTTTATATTAATGTATTTAAAGTTATGTTTACATCAAATTATCCTCTATTAACATAAATTTTGGATTCACTACTAAATTAAAATTTTAATATCATAAAATTATTTTAAATCTGATAATTAACAGCATGTTGAATAATAGTTTTAGATTTAGTTTTAGACCTTTTTGCTGATTTCGAACTGAATTGTAAAATTTGAAGGATAATATCAAAAAAAAATAACAACGTTTTATTTTTAAAACACGGACTGAGACATCGAAAAAAAGGTTTTAAACACTAAGCAAAACAAACGCAAATAAATCATTGTTTTTTCTCGCAGCGCGCAATTTATCGCGCGCGAAACCGATGATATTTTGGGCTGTGAGTGTTTCGCTTTCAGTCGCGGGACCGGCGGGTGATTTTAGGACCAAAAAATAAAAATATATATTTTTCGATAATGAAAATAAAATATTAATATTGAACGCTTGGAGATAATAGTAGTAGATAATTTAAGGACGTCATAGAACCGGGGTTCCTTATCTCCAAATTTGGTCATTTGCGTAAATTGGATCACAGCCACGGATGCGGAGGGGGTGACATGGCCCACTAGTACGTCGCCACGTCGCACAAAGAAGGCCTTGAACCGTGTGCTCTGTGTGAACGTAGCGAGATGCTAAAATGGGGATAAGGCGGTTATGGGCCTTGGGCCGAGCTTAGCCACAGCAGCTGGGCCCACGACATAGCTTCTCTGTCATCTTCTAATTCTTGGGTTTGGGGATTAGACAAGATTTCGTTTTCTTTTTTATTTTTCCCCTTTTTCTTTTAAGGAATTCTAGGAAGGGTTTGGAAGAATTGCTTTTGCTTCCTCCAAACCACACATTTTAATTGGGTGAGAAAGATTTGGGTTGTCCCCTCCATGCCCCTTCATTTTCTTCAAAATTAGGGGGTTTTTTTTTTTTGTTGACTCAATTTTTTTTTTTACAATATTCTTTTTGACATTAATAAAATAATTATGAGGTGGGGTATGCTGCTTTCATTTTATTTTTGGATTTATTGAAAATCAAGCTTTTTCCAATTACATGAAATAAGTGTGGCCTTTGTTTAATGGACGGGAAATAATCCAAATAAAAATTCAATGGGAAAATTGTGAAATGAAAATAAATTTACTTATGCGTAAGATTATAATTACATTAAATTAATGTTGACTATATCCTATTAAATTAATACTTGTCCATTTGTCAATTTGAACGTATTTTTCTGGTTAAGGTCCGTGTATCTAATCTCGTCCAGTTAATATTCTCAAAATAAAGAATAGTCATTTAAATTATCTTGATTAATTATATAGAGTCACTTATATCATTATTAAAATCGACCATAATTATTTAATGAAATTGGAACAATATTATTAATATTTTTTTATAATTGTTAGATGAAGAGTAAAACAAATTTTTAAAAAATATTTTCTAACTATATATTGATGGTCATGTGAATGGTAGGTGAGATTGTAACACCTACTTTAATATTTGTGAAATTACCGTTAAGGACGAGCATGTCTTTTATGGACAGAACATTTACTTTTCCTGAAGTCTGACTTTTTTACATTCATCTATTTTATCATGCACATGACGTGTAACACTCAAATTTGGAGTTTTGTACAAATTTTATAGGAATGTTATTGATGTGGTATGTATTTAAAATTGATGTAAAAGGACAAATATTTAAAACTTATCTAGTTCATATTTTAAAATAATATTATTCAATCTCTATTTCAATATAATATTTATAAACTTAGACATATACTAGTAGAAAAATCAATCATCCGACATAGTTGAAAATACGTATATGTCATCCCAAATAGAAGGTTCAAGCAAACATATAAAAGGATAATTGTCACAATTTTACATATTTTGGGAACATAAACATACGTAACATGCATGTGGTTATTTTTGAACTCATAAAATGATTCAAGCATGTTTCATCTATTGCAAAATGTTGGAATAAGTGAATATGTGAATTTGTATGTGACTTTTATCAAATGAATATTTTTTTAAAAAAATAATATTTAACAAATTGGCAGACTAAAATTTGACCATAAAAAATAAAATAAAATACAGATAAAATACACTTTAAAAAATATATAATTTTCCTTAAAAAAACTATACAAAAAGAAAGGAGGAAAAACAATATCTGGTGTCCTTTATGGGCCTTGGTGGTTGGCAAGGCCTTTTGGTAGTAGCAAGTCCAGCTAGGTCAGGCCCGATGACCACTTGACTTCAAAGGCACCGGCCTGATTTGATGGATGCTTAATATATATATATATATATATATATATATATATGGTTTTTTTAAATACCTGATTTCTAATTTATTTATGACGTGTTTTTTTAAAATATTACAATACAGATATTGAGTGAAAAATGAGAACCTATCACTCTTTTAAATAAAAGAAAAAATGTCTAACATATTAGTCACTAATAACTAACTCAATTCATTCGTCTTACAAAATGAAAAAAAAACCGACATATATAACTTTTTTAAATATTAAATTTAGTTGACTGTTTATTTAATTTTCTTTTCTATCTAACTAACTTTTTTCCTATGTTATTTAAATATTAGTGTTATTCATTAAGTCATATTTATAAATCATTGTAATAATTTTTTTATGTATATTTAAAAATATTTTTAAAAATCAAAGTATCACGCAACCCATAATAAATTATTATTGTACAGTAATTTTATATTGACAGAGATAAAAATGATAAAATAAAAATATAATCCAATAGGAATTTGTCAGTTAAATTATCCTAATTCTTAAAACTCTACTTCGTGTAACTAACTTTAATTTTAAAATATTTTATAAACTTAATTATTTTAAAATTTCTTATAGAATAAAGTTACAGCTAAATTAATCTGGTGAGGTATTGGTCCTCACTCCCCATTTCAAAATTATAATAATTTAGTAAACTAATTAATTTAATTCATTATTTTTTTAAAGAGATAGTTTAATTATTTAAAGTTTATTTGAGGGCACTGCAAAACAGCCCATAATGTCGGCAATTTGCCCAGGGTTATAAGAAGACAACCAATTTACAGTCTCCAATACAGTCAACATCAATCTCGACCGTCTGATTTATCACACTGAAATCATACGGTTACCGTGACTTCTAACTTCTGACACCGAAGGTTGACTGGTGATTTAAAGCATCCAATCACGTTTGATTGGCTGAAATCCCACGTGTCATTTATGAATTATTAGTCAAATTACGTATAATTCCTCGAAATCAAAATATACTACGTGTCAACTATAACTCGAAATTACTGTTAGGAGGGCATCTCACTGATGACTGGACCTCAACTTGAAGTGTTATTAAAATATGAAATAAAAAAATATATAGCACATGAATGGAAGGAATATTTTTTAATTTTAAACTTTTTTATGCCAACTAATGGAATATAAATAACTATAAGATAAGATGGGTAAAAAGGAGGCAAAAAGTCTGGTATGAATTTGATGCCGAATATTATTTGTTATATTTGAAAATAACAAAATTAATTTAAAACTTATTTGGGTAAAACGATTTAAAAAATGGTTTTTTAATTCAGAGGTTGACAAAAAAAACAACAGTAAGTTTTTGTTACTTTCGTGTTTTATTAATTTTTTTTTGCGTATTTATATTCCTTTTAATTATTTGGTACATTTTAATTTAATTGTATTATATTTACATAAATGAATATAGAGATTAAGTTATTTTTGAAATGCAAGTTGAAAGTAAATATTTAAATACGTTCTTTAATTCAAGATTTAAGAGAGATAATATAGAATTAATGGATGGTCAGAATTTTATCTGGGTTCGAATCTTATTGAGAGGTCCACTAGAGATCAAAAATTGTTCAAGAAATATCAAGATGTTTCTTTTGTCCCTTCCAGACGATCGGAAAGGTTAAAAGAATGCCTAATAAATTTTAGATAAAAGAGAAGCAATAATAGAAAGTAGTATGTGTTACTACACATACTACTTTCTATTAAGGCTACAACAATGTCATAATGACATGTGCAAGACGGACCGATAATAAATGTATTAGTTGTCTTTCACTTATCAAGAATGAGAGATGGATCCCATAGATATAGCGAAAGACAAACTACCTATCTCAAGTGTATGAGACAATAGTCGTAGCCAAGAACATTGAACAACTTAAAGCCATCTAATTTTAAATTGAAAACAAAGTGGAGTAATTTAAAAAGGTATAAAACAATTTTAAACATTTTTCATTTTAAAATGGATAGGTTTTGATATATTTTTTTTTTTTTTGGATTTTTGCTATCAAATTTCAATCCACTTGTATCCTTGTTGTGCTTCACGTAATTTATAATTTTTAGGAGAAATCAAAATATTATTTATGAAAATAAAAACATAAAAATGATTATTAGAGATATGTGTGGTACTGGTAGATGCAAGACTTTCCATGTCAAAGAAAATAAAATCTATGATTTTCCTAAATGAAAAAGAGGGAGAGTAAATTACCTAGCTATTTTTTCTCTCTACATTTTCTTTAAATAACTAATAAGTAATAACACAAATAAGAAATCTTATTACTCTTATCACAAGAGAATTATAAACATTACAATATTTGTAAATAATTATAATGCATAAATTCAAAATATTAAAAAGTAACTTTTGTACGACACAAAGTATAATTTAATGAAATTAAAAATACTTTAGATGGACCATACCAATAAATTAATTTATCTTACTGAATGAAAACAGTGGAAGCATTTTAAAACAACCAAAATTGTTGAAGCCAACTTAAATACTTTTAAAATAGATATTCTTGTATTATTTTTTCCTATGAGTTAAGTTATAAATTCAAATTAGGTAAGTTATGCATTATGTAAACTTCTAATTTTTAATGGGCTATCAAAATTTTAACTAATTGAAATGTAACACGTCAAATAAAAAATTAAACCACTAAAATTATTAATAAAATGTTAATTATCGATAACTCAAACATAGTTTCTTAAGACATATATTTTCAATCAAAAGATCGAGAGTTTGAATATTTAATTTCACACATTTTTGTACTATAAAATGTAAATATATGATGTCTCTTAATTTATCAAACTATCTTATAGTAATATATATATATATAATATTTTATAAATAAGAGAGATTGAGATTTTGAAAGAAAAAAAAAAGAGAAAAAAAGAAGAGCGATCAATTTTGCAGGGGTGGTTGCTAAAATATTATCCTTTCAAAAGTAAACCCAAAAGTTTCTCCTAAGAATTATGAGAATTAATTCAAAACAGAATAATTTAATGAAGGTAAATTAAATTAGGTGGTAAAATTATTACTCCGCTGACAATATGAACGTTAACACCGTTGGGTTGCATTCACCCGGATTTACGGTCAGGCTGCCCATGGTGCGGTGGAAAGACAATCTTGCCCTTAGAAATGGATAGTTGGGAGCGAACGGGAGGAAATTTTGAAAGCACATGCGGAGGTAACCGTTGAGGAGCGCAGAGAACCACGCGACTTTTCATCTATGAGATCGGACGGCTATTGTTCACTAGCCGTTAGATTCAAATTTTTTCGTAGCAGGACCATGTGCGGACATATATCCGCTGTTTACGACTCCATTTCGCTTATGCAGTTCGGATTTCTGTTCTCTCTTTCAAAATTTTCCACAGAGAGAGAAAAAAAGAGAGACCACCGATCCACTCCGAGACTGTGACTCACTGAGAGTGGGGCGGAGAATCGGCGGAGAGAGAGAGATCGCTCCGGCTTTTAATGGAGGTTTTTCGAAGTCGTCTCTCTCTCGCTTGTTTGAAAGTGGAAGCGCGGGCCGGCATCCAGTAGCAACTGTAACCCGTTTGATAATAAGCCTCAAACGAAATTCGAGAGTTCTTGATTTTAGAAGGTTAGTTTTTCGCGATTCACGATCTGGGCATTGCGTCACTTCTTGAAGGATTCTCCCCCATTCTTTTGAAGTTTGATTTTTTTCCCTACTGTAGCTTGAGTGGTTCATATTCTTTGATTGTCCATTCGATCTTCTTTTTGTCGGCGATTTGGGTCTGAAATCTTGTGGGCATGATTTATAGGTGAAGAGAAATGGCTGGATCGGACGAGAACAATCCGGGAGTGATCGGACGGGCGAATCTCCACGGTAATTGAATCGGAATTTGTTTTTTTTTTCTCTTGTAGCTTTAGGCGTTTTAGGATGGGCATTATTTCCATTTGATTTGAAATTACAAATTTCTCAAACCCTGTTATGGAAATGAATTTGTTTTCTATTGGATGAATTTTAAAGGGGATTTACGAGGTGGTGGTGGCAAATTTGCGGTGGGGGTGGGTCAAAATCGCAGAGCTTTGAGCACCATTAATAGCAATGTTGCCGCAGCTCCTCCCCCTCATCCCTGCGCAGTCCTCAAAAGAGGCCTAACAGAGTAATTCTTTTAATATATTTTTTTAATCTGTTTGGTTCATGAGAAAATTGATGAAAATTAGAATCTCTTGCATCCTTTGTTTCTTTCTTGCTCGAGTGCTTATCTTTTGATTCTCACTGTCTCAACTCTCGATCTTATGTTTGAGTGCACTGTTCTTCTTTCTCAGAACTAATGCTGTTCCCAACAACAAAGACCCGTCGCTTCTGGTTCATCGACCGATCACTCGGTCAGTAATCATAAGCAGCCTTTTTTATGCCTCTGTCTCTTGAAATTTCTCACTGCTTCTTGATCTGCTGCTTTTGTTGTTTTTTCTTCAGGAAGTTTGCTGCTCAGCTGGCTAATAAGCAGCAACAGCAACTTGTTGTATCCGAGGTGGATACCAAGCCAATGCAATCTGCCCCAATTCGAAACGACTCTGAACTTCATCATCCCATCGCTGAGGAAGATGATGCCATGGGGGAATCAGCAGTGCCAATGTTCGTTCAACACACTGAAGCAATGTTGGACGAAATTGACAGGATGGTAATTATAAAACAAACCCATCTCTCTCTCCCTACAATCGTTCTAAATTCTTTCCTTTAACTTCCATTTATGTGATGAATTTCCGCAGGATGAGGTGGAAATGGAAGATATAGAAGAAGAGGCAGTCATTGACATTGACAGCCGCGATACGAAGGACCCACTAGCTGTCGTGGAGTACATTGATGAATTGTATGCCTACTACAGGAAAGCCGAGGTTAGAATCTTCCAGACAAATGTTGTTCCTGTTTCTTTTTCCTCTTTGTTTTCTATCTAAGATGTTTTGTCTTGCAGGTTTCAAGCTGTGTCCCATCGGACTACATGACTCAACAAGCAGATATCAATGAGAGGATGAGAGGGATTCTCATTGACTGGCTAATTGAGGTTAGTTTAGTAGTAGCTTAGAAGGAGTGGTGGTTACGCGGATAATTGATAAAAGATTAAATTTACTGCAATCTTTTAGTTTAAGTTTTCCGGTTCAACATGGTATTATTCTAACACAACAATACATGATGATGGCTGTAAAGGTACACTACAAATTTGAGCTGATGGAGGAGACGTTGTATCTAACAGTCAACCTGATCGATAGATTCTTGGCGGTTCAGTCGGTGGTGAGGAAGAAGCTCCAGCTTGTTGGAGTGACGGCCATGCTTATTGCCTGCAAGTATGAAGAAGTTTCTGTTCCTGTTGTGGATGATCTTATTCTCATATCCGACAAGGCCTACACCAGAAAGGAAGTTCTGGACATGGTTAGTTTTCTTTGTTCTTTTGCTAATGTTATGTAGAATGTGGGTGTACGAGGTTGTTTGTTGTTGGAGACTCATTCTTGGAATGGTTTTGCAGGAGAAGTTGATGATTAATACCTTACAGTTCAATTTGTCTGTCCCAACACCTTATGTCTTCATGAGGAGGTTTCTCAAAGCTGCTCAATCTGACAATGAGGTAAGAACAAAGAACCATGTAACAATAGAACTGATCTTTGTCTATTTGGAGTGAGTTTGACAAATCTTTCTACACTGCTTCTAAGTGCTTCTCTTAGCGTTATATTACTCTATGAATGCAATTTCACAAAGCACTTTAAGTAATATTTTTTCCGCAAACATTTATGAATCACTCTAAACCATGATAGTTTGAGTGGGAGAAGCGCTGAAGAGGGATGATTCCAAACTCTCCCAGTCATCTCAAACCAATTCTTAAAAGTCACTACTACTAATGATGCATGTCATTTATGTTATTCTCCAGCTGGACCTTCTCTCATACTTCATGGTAGAACTGTGTCTGGTGGAATATGAAATGCTGAAGTTCAAGCCTTCATTAATGGCTGCTGCTGCTGTCTTCACTGCTCAATGCACCATCAATGGCTTCAAGGAATGGAGCAAAACCAGCGAGTGGCACACTGGGTATCCGCAGGAGCAGCTTCTGTAAGTAAAATCATAAAGATAATCTGATTCCTCTCTTGAGATGTTGTTTTTGTTCTTGTGAATTTACATGGAACATGTTTTGGTTTTCACAGGGAATGTTCACGTCTGATGGTGGAGTTCCATAAGAAAGCAGGGACAGGGAAATTGACAGGAGTTCACAGGAAATATTGCACATCCAAGTTTGGATATGCTGCAAGAAGTGAGCCAGCAAGCTTTCTGTTGGAATAAAGTCTCTATAGCTGGTTTTTGTGCATATAAAAAGGAACTGAAAGAAAAAAGAATAACTGAGTAATGGCTGCTGCTTGCTAACCTTTACCTTATGCTGGCAATGTTTTTGGGTTGGGGGGGAATGGGATGTTGTGTAGAAAGAGCAACACAAGTTGCCCCTGCCTTTTTTTACTTTTGAAGAATCAGATTCTAATTTGGACAAAAAAATCCAATTTTTTTTTTTACTTAGAGCTTAGCTTTCTGGATACTTCTTTTGGTGTTGTGTCTGAAAATTTGTTATGAGGCAAAATTTGTTATTCTTTTTATTACATGCCCTGAGTTTGAAATGTTAAGAAAATTTATGTTTAAATTTGTGCAACTTGGCGTGTCTCTGTTCAAATTGGAGCCAACTTTTTGTCGGAATATATTCATTATAAAAATAGAGGTTCATTACTGTTAAAAAAAAAAAAATAGAGGTTCATTGTTATTGCTTTTTAACATGGGAGAGCCCGCTTATTTCATTATATAGTCCAAACTTTATTGTCTGATATAGTACAACAATACATAGAGATGTGAGATTAAACTTCCGACTTAAAAAATAGAAAAGCAAAATTCTTTAACCGAGTCAGTTGATGGTTTATTATTACCATTTTTAACATCTTAATCCTAAATATTACTCATTAGAAAAATTGTCGCGTAAAAAACATTTTGATATTTAATGTATGTAAGAAAAAATTTATAAATATTTACAAATACTTACTTTCATCAAAATTTAAGATATAAATTTTCTAGAATGGAGGGCCAACGGTGGCGAAGGGGCGGATGGCAAGTGAGCATTGGAGACGAACATTGGGCAAACGATAGTGAAGATATGACCTGCGATTATCGAAAAATGGAATAGGAGAAGGGGAGAGGAAGGAGAAGAAAATGGAAATTACACCCACCATAAAAAAAAAAATTATTAAGTAAAATAATTTGGTACCACAATATCATAAAATTAGTCCGCTATTAATGTAGATCATTTACAATCATTTTACAAATTTGAGGGATCAGTCTCTTTTAAAATTTGAGGACCAAATAGGTACTTGCTTTGTTTTTTTTTTTTTTAAATGAAATTAAACCATTACTCATTATCTAAACGGCCTCGTTTCATAGAGTGCCTTTTTCTTTATTTTTTTTAAGATTTTTTTTCCTTCTTCTTCTTTTCTCTGTGGCCTGTGGCATTGCGGGGGATGAAATGAAACCCTACGAATTGGACATTTAGCAAAGCCCACAGCCAATGTTCAAAGCAGTAAGGCCCACGCCCACTGAAACTCTCAGAGGGTCCGGATCCGTATACCCAAAACTACCACGACTTCTGCTCGACGGAGTTCAAGCCTTTTGAGCGCTCGTCGCGACCCCCAGAATCTAGAGGGAAACTGATCGAGATTAAAGTTGATTCCGCGCTGATCATAGGAATTCCTGGTTAAACAGCAGTCTCTAAGCGTTTACGTAAGCGAATTCATGGCAGACCTGGAGAAGGAAAGGTATAAGTACAGTTTAATTGTCCCAACCTACAACGAGCGCCTCAATATTGCTCTCCTTGTGTACCTCATTTTCAAGCACCTCCCGTACGTATCTCTCTCTATCTATGATCCTAATTAATTTCATGTCGTTTGGATTATTACGTGACGAGTTAGATTTTCCCAAGTGAAGCTTCATTTCGTATAAAAGTGTAATTCGTTTAATTGGAAATAAATCATGATTCACTCGTGGTTCAGTTTCTTCAGTTTTGTTGAGTGAGAGATAAACATTGTGAGGTCAAATTTCTTCTGTAGGTTGTGTTGACATTATTATTTGCATGTTTAATGATCGAATTATTAATTTCATTGTACATTTGTATCAACTTTGTTTAGCATAGTCACGGAGTTGTCAATTCCTTCTTTTGTGTTAATTTTTACACCATTGGAAATTGAAATGGTAATAGATAATATATGCATCCTTTTATCGTTCACCGTCCACTTTTAAGAATAGGAAATTGGTAATGACATTGCATGATATTTTCTCGCTTTGATATCAGGGATGTTGACTTTGAAATAATTGTCGTTGATGATGGAAGTCCTGATGGTACTCAAGAAGTTGTGAAACAGTTGCAAGGAGTATACGGTGAAGATCGCATTGTAAGTTCACTGTGCTTGGGTTTTGTATTTGTTGCAGAGGTCTACTCTTTAACCTATTTTGCTCACCTTTTTTCGTTATTAATGCAGCTACTGAGAGCCAGACCTAGGAAGCTTGGCTTAGGTATGTTGTACAATTTCTTCTTTCAAAACTATTACAGATCTGATTATTGATGAATGGCTAATTTCAGGAACGGCTTACTGTCATGGTCTCAAACATGCAACTGGTAATTTTGTTGTTATAATGGATGCCGATTTATCTCACCATGTAAGTTTTTTAGTAGGAGTGTGGAACACTTCTAAAACAATCTCTGGCATTTGATTTGGGGTTTGAAATGTTTCCATGGCTTCCAATCTGCATTACCAATGCCTATCCCCCTTACATTATAATCTTCCTGTTTATTAGTTTAGTTGACATCTGATGTTCTATTATTTAGCAATAAAATTACAGGAATATATGTTCAACAAGTTGCAGACGACTTTTTGGATCTTAATTTGATGCTTTAAAAAATGGTTCTTAATGGAAACTAAAGGCACTACCTAGAATTGTGGCTTTATTCTATGCAAGAATAGTTTTTGTTAGTTTGATTTCTTTAATAAATGGTCCTTATAGGATTGTTTTTAGAGGATAATGAGATTTCAAATTTGCATCCTTGTGCTTCTTATAAAGTGCAGTTTGCAAACAAACTTCCATAACCACGTTTACAGGAGTTCCATGTGTTGTAAATTTTCTTGTAGTGTTCTCATGATCCTTTCTCCGTGGAATAACTTCCTTTTTTTTCTTTCTCTCTGCACCATTCTTTTTGCAGCCAAAATATTTACCAAGCTTCATTCGGTAAGGGACACTTCTTTCCGCTCAGAGTCAAAATAACTAAATTTGATAATTACGACTACTTTTTTTTTATTTCATTTATTAGGAAACAGTTACATACTGGTGCCGATATAGTTACTGGAACCCGATATGTAAAAGGTGGCGGTGTACATGGATGGAATCTTATGCGCAAACTAACAAGTAGAGGAGCCAATGTTCTTGCCCAAACACTTTTATGGCCTGGTGTATCAGATTTAACTGGATCTTTCAGGTACTACAGATTTTAAATTCCAACCTAACAAAATGAATCAATCGTTCATACTTGTACAATTTTTAATTAATGGTTTGTTCCTATGTTGGTAGGCTCTACAAGAAATCAGTGCTTGAAGATATCATTAGTTCAGTTGTTAGCAAGGGATATGTCTTTCAAATGGAGATGATTGTTCGAGCTACAAGAAAAGGCTACCACATTGAAGAGGTAGAGTTGTGCCCTGTGAATGTAATTTTTGCTTTACATGTTTTTCATCCCTTTATTTTTTATTAGAAAATAGAAGGCCATTGCTGTGTATATTAATGATTTTATGTCAATTTCAAATTGGTGCTTCACTAGTGGCCTCCTTTTTATAGAAGTATTCATGTGTAGTTATGTCGTCTATATCTGAACCCCATGCACCAACCTGAGCTTTGCTCAATTGGTTAAGGTACTAGTCTTCGACCAAAAAGGTTAAGAGCTCGAATCCCTACTCCCACATGTTGAATTTGCTCTTTAGGTTAAAAATGGTACTGTTTTTTTACCTAGAACTGACATAACGCCTTGTATTCCGTGCTGCCAACTACATTCCTCAATATTTATTGTTTTGGGGCTGACAGGAAACTGGTAAATTTCTCAGTGAATTTCAAAAATCATAGTTTAACCGCCCATAGTTAACGTTTAGGAACACATAGTTGATGCGACACTCGAATTGGTAGGAACCATTCGACTTGTACCGTGGAAAGCTTACTCATTCCTCAATTTTCAGTCCCTTTTTACACACTTCACTTGGATAGTTGTCTATAATTCTTGTCTACCTTTTCCTGGGATTTCTTTTACCAACTATTTTACCTGAATCAGACTGTAGGAAATCCAGATGTCTTTTTATAAGTTGAACATTCTTGAGTTATATATAGTTGCCTCTACAACAATGACCTTTTTTTCAGGGCCCACAAACCTCCTCCTTTGGTCTCGTGGTGGAATTAGCCATGTTAATGGTGGTGTCCAAGAGATTTTTAGTTTTTATTTTCTGAGTAGTATTTAAGATACTTAGGAAACTATTTTGCAATTAGAATACTCTTGGCAGATATGGCCATTGCTGTATCCTTGCAAGTTTCTATATCGATTTTGTGATTTTGGGATTTCAAACACCTTAGTTAAGTGTTTGAATAGAATGTCTTTTCGATATGTAGCGTATTACACGGGGAACGTTGTGATGATTTGTGTTTCATTGTGACCTACAGGTTCCAATTACCTTTGTTGATAGAGTGTACGGAAGTTCGAAGCTTGGAGGATCTGAAATTGTAGAGTACTTGAAAGGCCTTCTCTACCTTCTGGTCACCACATGATGGATGATTACATGAATTATGAATTTTTGGAGTTTCCAGGTAAACGATGTAGAATTGAGATGATTGCTTAGGAGATATTTTCCCTAATAATTAGTGGTTTTCCCGCAATTTTCCTTTAAAATCACTACTGGAAGCAGAATTGGATCACGGTGCCCTCATCATAACCCATAGGTATTGTATTCCATGTTGTCTTGTAGGATGCCTCCTACTACTAGACTGTCCAACAAAATGGCGTGGTTTTTCTTTTCCTTTTTCCTTTTCTTTCCCCCGTCATTCGCTTCCTTATTATTCATAGCTATACCAAATGAAAGTAGAATTACATCAAAATTGAATTTATTTAAATCAGTGAATGCATTTGATTTTTTACGCAGATTGATATAATTAAATATAAAGTTATATATTTGAAGATGAATGTAGCAATCAACTTCAACAGTAATTGACATGTACTTCTTTATTTGAGGTCAAAAGTTCGACCTACTATATCCACAAATTGTTGGATTAAAAAAAAAGGAGTGATGTAGCATAGCGAGTGTATTATCAGAATAACGCTATATATATAGTATAAGTCCCTATACCATACTTCTGGTTTTGGTTCATTTTGATTGAAATTTGTTTTAAGAATTATTATGGTCTCTATATTATCTGTTACTTTTAAAATGTCTACCTTGGTATATATACTTTCAGTTTTTGTTTATTACAGTCTTGTTCATTTTGGTGTTACTTTTAAAATGTCTACCTTGGTATATATACTTTCAGTTTTTGTTTATTACAGTCTTGTTCATTTTGGTTTCTATATTTTTAAAAAGGGATCATTTTTGTTTCTAGCTATGTTATGACTATGTTTCAAGAAATTTAATAAGTGAAATGTCATGGTAAAATTTTGATCAAAATAAATAACATAAAAATGAAAATGAGCGAGGAGTAAAATAGAGTATAAAGATTAAAATTAACCAAATTCAAAATTACGGAATATTTAAACCTTGAAATTTTAATTTAAACTGGGTTTTAAAACAATTTTCTTATCTGTTAAATAAAATAATTTCAAATAAATGGGACGGTGAGCTGCGGATGAATGGGTCCGTTACGGCAGTTAGGTGAAAGAACGAGCAAAATTTTCTCCAACTCACAATTCCATATTCAAGAACAATAAAATTATGGAAATAAATGACTTTTGACTTCGCAAATTAAATTTATCATACAATATTTATTAGTTGAAATAAGATAAATTTGTCTATTGCTTCTCATTAAATTATTCCTCAAATTTCGTGAGAATATTGGATAATACTAATCGGTCAACTAATCAATGGTAGATTAATTCCAAAAAAATAAAATAAAATAAACTAATAAAGGGTAGAAGTAATAAAGGGTAGAAGTATTTGACTAAATTATTAGACCATAAGTGTAAGAATTATAAATTAGAGGGCAAAGTGCTCTTTTGGTCCCTAAGATTAAAGAGACACACGACTCAAACCTCAGAACCAATCAGTAGTTCGATTGATTTAGACATATTTCGTCGAAAAATACATTTTATCCTAGTTCAACTAATTAAAGAATATATTCGAATTCTCACTCCCACCATCCCACTTGTTATTGAACTAAATAAGTGGTAGGATATCATTCAACTGGTTGCCTTACTTAATTTCTAGTTTTTTTTAGGCAAATTTCTAGTTAAAGTATAAATTGCTTTAAGTTACTATTAATTAATTATGTACCATAAATGTTTTTTTTTAGGGAAATGTAACATAAATGTTTAAAGTTGGGGTTTAGGATAATTAATTAAATATTTATGTTAGACAATTAATTAATTAACATATAATAATTTGTTTAAAAACATTAACATATAATTGCAGCAATTAAAATTAATTTAGATATCGACTATAAATTAAATAATTAAATTATCTTTTGAGCATAACCTATAAACCATATATTTAACCCATAAAATAAAGAGGTAAAATAGTTTATTTTTTAAAGTACATGAATTAAAATAAAATTTTTGGAAATATAGAGATAAAAATAAACTTAATTACAAGGATAAAAATAATATTTAAACCTTGAAACTTTAATTTTAAATGTGTTTTAAAACAATATTCTTATTTGTCAAGTAACTCCTCACTTCTATGTAATATTAAAAGCAAAACTTACAAGTATATTTATAGATTATAAGTTATAACTCTATTTCCTTCCTCTTATTTATTTGTAACATTATAATTATATAAAACGAAAACATAACAGAGGTTATAATTCTCTTTTATTTATTTGGAATAATTAACAAGTTTAATTACTAAAAAATAAAAGACAAACGAAATACTTATACGTAATATTAAAAACAAAACTTACAAGTATATTCATGGATTATAAGTTATAAGTTATAACTCTATTTCCTCCCTCTTATCTCTTTGTAACATATTAAAAAAAAAATTATCCTTTATTTATTATGTAACGTAATATTTATTTTTTAAAAAAAGTTCAAAAACTCTCATGTTCTCATTATTTATATTACAGAGTAGAGTGGAAGGATGAGCAAAAAGTTCTAACGATCTCTCTCTCGTCACTCCAAAATCAATGGAGGGAATGGAACGCTGCTCTGCCAATTGTGTGTCTCTCACTCCAATTACTTTCTTGGAGCGCTCTGCTGCGGTCTATGGCGACAGAGCTTCTCTCGTCTACGGACGTGTCCGCTACACTTGGAGAGACACGCTCCAGCGATGTACCAGACTCGCTTCTGCCCTAGTTCGCAAAGGAATCTCGAGAGGAGATGTGGTTCGTATTCACAACTTTTCCATTTCGATCTTGTGTTTATCATTGTTTTTAGTATCTGTGGATATGGCTGTATATGCAGAATTGGAAATAATTTGATTATGTTTAGGCAGGAGTCATTTAAACTAAATAGTTGCATAGAAAAATGAGAACAACGAATCTGGTTTTAAACTCTAGCTTGTATATCACTGAATTAGTGGATTGGCTTTATCGGAGCAAATGGACGTTGAACTACTTTAAATTCTTCTTGTTATTTTCTATTGTTTCTTCTCAATCATTCTCCTACTCTTGATTCTGAACTGGTTTGATGTGGTGATTCTTGGTGTAATATGCAACACGTGAGTTACTTCGATGCTATTATTTTTTATATTGACTTTTATCCGATGTGAATTTTTATGAGCTTTGGTGTTCTAATTGTTTTGATGATGGATGAAACTACGCTTACTGAATTTGTAGTTTGAAATTTTTTCTGTTATTACGAGTTTCGAGGCATTTGGTCAGGTTAAGCCATTTCTTAAATTCAATCTTTGGTCTAGTTTTTAAAATAACGACAATTCTTTGGAGCAGGTTGCTGCTTTGGCACCAAATATTCCAGCTATGTACGAGCTTCATTTTGCTGTACCAATGGCGGGTGCAGTTCTTTGCACCCTCAACATGCGCCACGATGCAGCAATGGTTTCTACATTGCTGAGCCATTCAGAAGCCAAAATCATTTTTGTAGACTACCAATTCCTACCCATGGTAAAGAGAGCAATCAAACTTATGTCCAAGACGACAGAAAAACTGCCTCTTGTTGTCGTTATTCAAGAATATGATCAGCCATCCTCCTGCATCAATGGAGTCGACTCTGCTTTAGAAGATCTAGAGTTTGAGAGCCTTTTAGCCACTGGAGAAGTTGATTTCAAGATCAGGCGGCCTAAAGATGAATGGGATCCAATTTCTCTCAACTATACTTCTGGCACCACATCAAGGCCAAAGGGTGTCATTTACTCCCACAGAGGTGCATATCTGAATACTCTGTCTACTGTTCTTCTAAATGATATGCCCTCACTCCCTGTGTATTTGTGGACTGTACCAATGTTTCACTGCAATGGATGGTGTTTCTCTTGGGGCGTGGCTGCACAAGGCGGCACAAACATCTGCCAGAGGACTGTAACTGCCAAAGAAATCTTTGCTAACATTTCTCAGCACAATGTTACTCATATGGGCGGTGCACCGACTGTTCTGAACATGATTATCAATGCACCAATTAGCGAACAGAAGCCACTTCCCGGAAAGGTAACCGTGATGACAGGCGGCGCTCCACCGCCTTCTCATGTACTCTATAAGATGAGAGCATTGGGATTCCTTATTATCCACTCATACGGTTTGACAGAAACATATGGGCCAGCAACAGTTTGTAGTTGGAAACCTGAATGGGATTCCCTCCCCGAAGACCAACAGGCAAAATTGAATTCTCGCCAAGGACTACAACATGTTGGGCTGGAGGGAGTGGACATCAAGGATCCTGTCACCATGGAGAGTGCACCAGCTGATGGAAAAACCATGGGTGAGGTTATGTTTAGAGGCAACACTGTGATGAGTGGATATTTGAAGGATCTCAAAGCCACACAGGAAGCTTTTAATGGTGGGTGGTTTCGGAGTGGGGATTTAGGGGTCAGACATCCTGACGGTTACATAGAACTCAAGGATCGTTCAAAGGACATTATAATTTCTGGGGGAGAAAATATTAGTTCAATTGAAGTTGAGTCTGTGCTTTATAGTCATCCATCGATTCTTGAAGTTGCTATTGTGGGAAGACCTGATGACCACTGGGGAGAAACACCGTGTGCTTTTGTGAAGCTGAAAGATGGGTGTAGTGCTAATGGAGAAGAGATCATAAAGTTTTGTAGAGAACATCTGCCTCATTACATGGCTCCACGAAGTGTCGTTTTTAGAGATTTACCAAAAACTTCAACCGGGAAAATTCAGAAATTCGTGCTCAAGGAGGAGGCCACAGCCATGGGTAGCCTCCAGAGAAGTAAACACAGCAGTTAATGAAAAATAAAAATATATTAGGAAAAGGGTATTCTTATAAACCAAATAAAGTACCATGAAATAAATATATACTTACTATAATCCAAATGGACCAATCTTCGATTAACAAGATTGTCTCAGTTTCAGTATATATAAATCTATTTTGTTTTAAAATATATTTATATATATAATGAAGTTGATTTATGATCGTTGATCAGTGAATCATTTGATTCGAATCCGTCAATAATTTGTTAGCCAATTTTAATTTTGCTATAACCCATTTGTTTAACTGGACATTAAAACATAATAATATGCTTAAATATTATTTTGGCTCACGTAATCTTGCATTTTGTTTATTTAGTTGGCCTAAATTTTAATTTTTTAATTTTAACTTATATATTTTTATAACGTCTATTTTAGTTTTTGTACTCTTTAAAAGCAACAATTTTAGTCGAAAAATAGATGTTTTGATACTGGGATCTGATTAAATACGATGGAAAAGTAGAAAAAACTATAGTAGTATTTAAACTTAAAATAAATCAAAACTTCAGTTTTAGCTTTTAGAAAGTTTTTGTTGTTAGTACAAGGGAAAAAAATCGACTTAACGAACCGTGGTTTTATCCCCACTCCAATTGCATCGAGACGAAAAGCTTGTTGTGATTAGATGGGGGCAATCCTTTCTCCACACTTCGGTGTGATGCTCATTTCAAACCTGTTGAGGAAGAAAATTTGCCACTTCATTACCGAGTTCAAGTTGAGAGGTAAAAGTAATTCTTCAAATTACCTTCCTCCATAGATTTCTCATCTCATACTAGATTTCATTCTTACCATGATTGAGAATGAGATTATAAAGTATTTGAAGAGTCATTTTTTATTCAATTCCCGCCTATCTCCCTATCAAAGATATTTATATTAGATTCATCCAATGAAGTTATGCAATGAACTCGAAATTAATTAAATGTGATTTGGGAATTCATAATAATAGCTCTCCATGAAATTTAGAAAACCAAAGTTATTTTAGTTGTTTGAATTCGGAAAAAGAAAAAAAAAATCCAATATTTGTTGTACAAAACAGGTAAAGGGAAAAAAAAATTGAAGGGCCGTACCAAAATGGATTTATGGTTAAAGTTTGACCAGAATAACCAGAAAAAAGCAAACATAGCTTTATCTACATTTTTGTTTAGTATAATTCGTAATTCGAGAATTGGACACCGGCAAATCCATCCATTTATTTTCAATTACATCAACAAGTAACGTCAATCTTATGTTCGAACCTCCATCCCCACATGTTGTATGAAAAAAAAAACGTAACCTTATATTCGAACCCTCATCCTCACATGTTATTGGTTGTCGTCTAAGTATAATTTGTTGGAATTCATATAATATATATATATATATATATATATTTTCTACGTATAGGGGTAGGGAATTCAACTCATAGTCTATTGATTGAAGATATATACTAATTATCGTTGAACTATGATTTTTGTTTATCAAGAAAAAAGAAGAAGAAAATATTTTATATTAAAATATTGTTTATAGGCCTATTTTAATTTTTATGGCTTTTATATGACCATTTAATTTTCTTACAATCTAAATGTAATAATAAAACTATTTAAGTTAAAAGATTTAGTAAACAATTTAGTTTTATTTTGCTTTTGAATTAAAATATGAGTAGAAAGTTCAAATCTTCAAACTTACTCTTTTTAATGATAATGTCAATATAGTTTGTCATTATGGATACCTCAACGAGTCAAAGTACTATTTCCAATCAAAAAATTGTAAGTTCAAATTCTTGTTCACTTGCTGAGAATCGTAATGGGAATGAATCGAAATAAGAATATTATTCATTTGATGTTATTTACCACAAATTTTATGAAATAGGAACCATAATCACATATATAATAATTATTAGTACACCGCGAGTGTTCGAGACAACTTGTGCACAACTCGAATAATCTAGCGTGACAATTATCTATCATACTATATTTAGTTGTCAAGAAAATTCATAAAACATTAAAAGTATATAATTTTTTTAGATATGTCAATAAAATAGTTAGACTCAAAATGAAAAATAATCTATTTTAATTCAACGATACGTGGAGCTGTACATCAGTTTTGAAAAAAGCAATATAGTTATTTACAAAGAAGTCGTAGTGAATAACCCAAATTTATCAACCAATTTAAGATTTAACCTTGTCTTTTACTTGATGTGTTTTAGAAAGTTTTGCGGCAGGTTATTAATTATTCATGACATGGTACAACTATATTTATAAATGCACTGATCAACAACTTTATAGCAATTCTTTTAAATCTATCTAGTGACTTTTTCAATCCGAATGAAATTGATTCTACGGAGGTGGTATCGCTCTTGAGAGGAGAGGATACCGATTTGACATAAATTTTATGGGCGGTTAAAGAAATTCGTTATTGACAAGATTCGAATGGAGTTTGTGATTTTGTAAAGGTTGATCGGGTTACGAACTACTGTGTACATCACCTTGTGTGTCCTGCTTAATAGAGTAGGGAAGGTGAAATGTGAGATTTTTTAATCCCTAATTGTGGCTATTAAGGACCTTACAATTGATTAATGAAGCATTTTTTTTTCTTAAAAAAAAAATCTAGCCCCTTTGGTATAGCGTTGAATTAATATTCACGCTAAACTTTATAAGTAAAAAAAAAAAGATTTTATTTCTAAAAAAAATAGTAAAATTTTTTTATTTTCATCTTTCGGAAAAAAAAAAAAAATCTTCTTTAATCTTTCACATGTATATAAAAAAAAACGGAAATAATGTCACGTCTTTGGCCCTCATCCATTGAATGCGTCTTGGATCCATGCGATGCAAAAGCAGAAGAAAACACCGAATAGTCAGATTCAAATGTGAGTAAGAAATCCATATCTTTACTGCGAAATCTCCTCTTCAATCATTGTTTCTTGCCATTTTCCAATCGCATGGACATGGCGCTTCTCCTAATTCACCTATCTTCCAGTTGATTATTATTGCCTTTAATTGTTTCTTCTCTTCACCGATTTCTCGCTTCCGCCGCCTGCGTAATCGATGGACGGAGCGGACCGCTGCTCCGCCAATCACGTTCCTCTCACTCCAATCACCTTTTTGGAGCGCTCCGCCGCCGTCTACGGCGACAGGATTTCTCTCGTCTACGGACGCCTCCGATATACTTGGAAAGACACGCTCCAGCGGTGTACCAGGCTCGCTTCTGCGCTCGTCCGCTTGGGAATCGCTCCTGGAGATGTGGTTTGTACTCACAACTCTCCCATTTCCGTTTCCATTTATTTTTCTATTGATTTTGATATATATTTGTGTGTTTTGAGGCCTTGGCTCTCTTAGAATCTGGATTGGATATATGGCTGTTTTGGCAGAACTAGGAATTATCAATTATTTGGATCCTGTTTATGCTCGTTACTTCGATCCCATTGTTTTTTGATATTTAGTTTTATTGGGATGATTGAAGCTTAAGGAATAAGGATCTAATTTTGTGTTTATGGTAATGATTGTTCTGTTTGGTGAACTCTGGATTTCCTTCTTATTGTGGTTGTTCAGTTCTGAATTTGTAGTATGAAGCTCCGCGTTGAGACATAGATTAAGTTGTTCCTTGATTACAATTATCGATCTAATTTTTTGGCGGAATACGATTCTCTGGAGCAGGTTGCTGCTTTGGCACCGAATATTCCAGCTATGTACGAGCTTCATTTTGCTGTACCAATGGCTGGTGCGGTTCTTTGCACCCTCAACATACGCCACGATGCAGCAATGGTTTCTACATTGCTAACCCATTCGGAAGCTAAAATCATTATTGTAGACTACCAGTTTCTACATATTGTGAAGGGAGCCATCGAAGTTATGTCCCAGAGGAAAGAGAAGTTGCCTCTTGTTGTCATTATTCAAGAGTATGATCAACCATCCTCCCACAAAGATAGAGCTGGATCTGCTTCTGAAGATCTTGAGTTTGAGAAACTTTTAGCCACTGGAGAACTTGATTTCGAAATTAGACGGCCTAAAGACGAATGGGATCCAATTTCTCTTAACTATACTTCGGGCACAACATCAAGGCCAAAAGGTGTTATTTATTCCCATAGAGGTGCATATCTCAATTCTCTGTCTACCGTTCTTTTGAATGGTATGTGTTCAAACCCGATATATTTGTGGACTGTTCCTATGTTCCACTGCAATGGATGGTGTTTCACTTGGGCTGTGGCAGCACAGGGTGGCACAAACGTCTGCCAAAGGAATGTGACTGCCAAAGAAATCTTTGATAACATTTCTCAGCACAAGGTTACACATATGGCAGGTGCACCAACTGTTTTGAATATGATTATCAATGCACCAATTAGCGAACAGAAGCCACTTCCCGAGAAGGTAACCGTGATGACTGGTGGCGCTCCACCGCCTTCTCACGTACTCTATAAGATGAGAGCATTGGGATTTTTTGTGGTTCATTCATACGGTTTGACCGAAACATATGGACCAGCAACAGTTTGCGTTTGGAAACCTGAATGGGATTCTCTCCCTCAAGATAAACAGGCAAAACTGAATTCTCGCCAAGGATTGCAGCATGTGGGGATGGAGGAAGTAGACATAAAGGATCCAGTCACAATGGAGAGTGTTCCAGCTGACGGGAAAACCATGGGTGAAGTTATGTTTAGAGGCAACACTGTAATGAATGGATATTTGAAAGATCTCAAAGCCACACGAGAGGCATTCAATGGTGGTTGGTTCCGGAGTGGGGACTTGGGGGTTAGGCACCTTGATGGTTATATAGAATTGAAGGATCGTTCGAAGGACATCATAATTTCCGGAGGAGAAAATATTAGCTCAATTGAAGTTGAGTCAGTGCTTTTCAGTCATCCAGCAGTCTTGGAAGCTGCTGTTGTGGGAAGACCTGACGATCATTGGGGAGAAACACCATGTGCATTTGTGAAGCTTAAAGATGGGTGTAGTGCTACTGAAGAAGAGATCATCGAGTTTTGCAGAGAACACCTACCCCATTACATGTCTCCTCGATGCGTCGTGTTTAAAGATTTGCCAAAAACTTCGACTGGAAAAACTCAAAAATTTATTCTCAAGCAGGAGGCCAAGGCCATGGGTAGCCTTTCAAAGAGGATTAGCAAACTGTGAAAATACACCTTGAAACATGAAAAGGAAGGTAATGACGTTTAAGTTAGGTCCTTATTATGTGTTTTGGCTTTTGGTTGGCATCCATATACGTCCAGGCCTACAATCTTATCTCTTTTTTTTAATGGATTTGAATGTTTTTTTTTTTTTGCGCCTTGGGGAAATAAAGGGAAAAAAACGAATGATATGGATAATTATAATATTGTGTAGTATTTTTTCGTACAACATGTGGGGGCGAGGGATTGAACTCACAATCTCCAATTACCACTTATTTATGTTTATTGTGTAGTTAAACATTCAACAAATATGTTAAAATACATATTTCATTATTACATGTGATATTTAGTTATGATCTTTCATGGAGTTAACGTTTGAACTATAATGATATTAATTTATTTCATATATAACTTTTTTAGTTTTTTCTTCTCTTTTAAATCATTTGATGTTCTTGACAATGAGTTTAATGAAATATGAAAATTTTAAAATTTAGAATGGTAGTTAAATATTAAAATAGTGATAAAAGAATAATACTGACGTGTGTCATAATTTTCTATTTTTTTAATATTAAAGAGTTGTCAAATTTGGATTGGTGAGATAAATGCTCAACACTCAAGTATTATTCAACAAGTAGGAGAGTTTTGATATGGAGGTAGAAAAGGGACATTTATAAAATAAAAAATTTATTAGATATGCTCCAACTAACTTTTAACAATTGACATAGTTTTCAGTGTTTTGTTTCTTGTTTAAAACAGTTAGTAATACTTATGGACCATTTTCTAAAAATAAGATCTAAACAAAATAACCATTAGTAGATAAACTTAATTAAAAATAAAATGAAAAAAACTAAAGTCTCATAGATTTATTTATTTTGGTTAAAATATATTTTCGACTTTCATAATTTAGTTTTTAAGGATTAAAAAAATTGCTTAATTAAAAATATATCTATTGTAATTCGTCAAAAAATAATAAATTCGCAATTCAGTAATTATGTTATAAATTTCAACCATCAGCTGTCAAAATGAGTATAGTTTAGCAGTAATATACAAAATTGAAAATATGAAAATCAAAATAATTATTTTTTTTAATTTTAAAGTGCAGTAACAAAAAATAAAGGTAAATACAACAACTAACATACACAAAATTGAGAGTATAAGGACCAAAATAAATATTTTAAAAATACACTATTAAAACAAATAAAAAAAATATGGAGACCAAAATAGTATTTTTATTATTTTTGTAAATAATTTTAATCACTTAAACACGCCTTGGAGACGATACAATATTTTGTTAATAGTTTTAAATTTGATAACGAACCAGTGGTAATTTGATTTTTGACCCCACATCTTGTACTAGTTTGAACAAATTTTATGTAAAAAATAGAAAATATATAAAATAAATGCAAATTAGAACTGTAGAACAAATATACCATGGCGAAGTAATAATGGGAGGCCACTGGTTGGCGGAAGGTAACTGGGCTACTTCTGAAAGTTGAGATCTAATATTTATTCTCATAGAAGAAACCCTATTTTTACACAACGAACAGTCTTCGGCTACGGAGCAAGAATCGAAGTCGAACTCATGATTTTCTTCATATTGCATTCGGAATCTCGTGTTTACTAAGCTATCGACGCCTGTCGTTGCTGGGAAGTACTGCGAGTTCGAACCATGCACAGGCAAGTAAATTTCTTTCCGTGACATGATAGCAGTTACCAATGCCCTAACCTAGTTTCTCCTCTGCATTCTTCCTCAGGGCAACGTCTCGTTTGGGATCAATAGCTGACTCGCTGTACAGATTCAAGCCGCACGAACATGTCAGTATCTTTTAGTTCGGAAATGTAGTTGGATTCCATGAATTCGAATTTGTTATTTTGAAAGAAACAGAAAAGTAGTGGGGAGCTTACTGAAGGGGATAACTGGTTCAGTTAATGCATCGTTTTTCTTGATAAAATTGCTAAACACAGTCATTGTGAACAATGAACTTATCTTTGGGTTAGCATTTGTGAAAAGGAATTTGGAGCCATTTAGGAATTCCCATTAAATTTTGTGAGTTTTTGTTTGTTCTCCTTACCAACATCAGTCTTGCAACAGGGGCGACAACAGGCTTCTAGCAAATTGGCATTCCATCGGACTCTTCTCATCTCTAAAGGTAATTTATGGCAAATAAGTTGTTTGAATACTTCCTACTTCAGCAAAATGAGTGAAATAATCTCGTGTTCTTTTTTGGCTTACGATATTTATATTGGTCTTCTAATATTTACTTAATACTCAAAGCTTGGAAGAGAGTTAGTTATATGATATTTTTCTGGCAGGACACATACTCAAATTTGGTATATGACATGAATGCATAGGCCTAGATAGCGAAACATTTTAAAGTTTCCCAACTCATGTAGAAAGCGTTGACATATTATTGTTTCAGTGTAGACAGTGAATTTTTGGGAAATGGAGCAGAGACAACTAAGTTCATGCAGATGCAGATTGTTGATGCACTTCGTCTGGGTGATAGAAGTAGTGCTTCCAACCTACTTATGGAACTTGGCCAGGAAAAGCATTCTTTAACTGCAGATAATTTTGTTCGAATTTTGAGCTACTGTGCAGGATCACCTGATCCATTGGTAGGTTTTGTGTTCTTTATTATCCTCTATTGCATCTCATGTTATTATTGTTTTTATTATTTTCAATTCAAGGGTGTTGAGAGAGCATGTCTTGTTCGCATATTTGATGTATGATACAATGTCATCAAGAATAAGCCACAAACTTACATTGTTAGCTGGCATCTATTCCATTTTACTGGCTAGCACAGGGGAAAAATGAATAGAAGATATGTGTTACATAAGTATTTACTTGCGTGCATTTAATTGTAATTCTACTGTTATGCATTGTATGAACTTGTGTACATTGAATTATAAGATCGCAGCAAAAAATCATGCAGTCACAACAATCACATATACACACAAAAAGTGTGAAGTAGTTCAACTCCCATTGATACTAATGGAAGGGTGCTCTAAATACAATGCACAAAGGTGCGGATGAAATTCAAGCTAAGTATTCAAAAGACAGCCTTAACTCAACCAGTTCCTAAATGATACCTGTCTACTTCCCTCCTCCCTCTTTATAACTATGCCACAACAAATTAACTCACGTAACCACCTTGAGAACGAGGAAACGACCACTTCTTCTAAGTTCTAACCATAACTAACTAATATTATAACTTCCCAATTTAGTCCACACCTTTTTCTAGCTCTAGTTTCGCTGTCCTGGAGTAAGTAAAATGGATGGGGTCTAAGTCTAAAATAATGGCACTGTTGTTTAGCGCATTTAGCTAAGAATGCAACAAATCGTTAGCTTATGGCATGCTTACATTTCACTTGCATATCTTATGCTAGTCTAGGAAGGTAAGAATGACGACAACCTTATTATTTTCTATAAACTGATGAGTATGCTGAAGCCCAAGGCTAGAATTTTTGTACCATGTATCTTTAATGTATATGTATTGTTTCTTCTCCTTGCAGTTTGTCATGGAGACTTGGAGAATAATGGAAGATAGAGGAATTTTCCTAAATAACACATGCTCCTTGCTTATGATAGAAGCACTCTGTAAAGGGGGTTACTTGGATGAGGTATAAACATATCATATATACTGAAATTGTATGCAATCTTTTGCCCCCACATCCAGTTGCCGTTATAACAACAATTTTCTCCTGTCGTAATAACACAGGCATTTGGTCTAATAAATTTCCTAGCAGAAAGTCGTGTCATGTTTCCTGTTCTGCCCGTGTACAATTGTTTCTTGAGAGCCTGTGTCAAAATGCAAAGTACGGTTCATGTTGGTCAATGTTTGGATCTGATGGACCACAGAATGGTTGGGAAGAATGAAGCTACATATTCTGAGCTTCTCAAGGTTTGCTAGTTGCCTAACTTATGATGACCTTTTATTTTTATAAGCTATATTTCAAGATCATTTGTTGCTTACTTTATTATGGGCTGGTGATCATTATCGAGATACTTAAAAAATTGCTCTTATGCATTGTACTTCTACACCATAACTGGATCAATCATAGGTATCTGAGTATCATCCTGTTGGTAAAAATAAATTAAAATTTGATGTAGTTATGATTTTAAATTTCTTAGTGTATGCTCAATTGTCCATGCACTCTTGCTAAGCATGATGAGAAGTATGGGTTGATCAAGGAATGCTCTTCGCCTGTAAGTTATGATGATCATCCTTGTATTGCTGTACGAGAATGTATTTTTAATTCGGCGGATCTGAACCCTGTAATTTATTCACGGTGAATGGATACTGAAATATTTGATGATTGCTTTCTTTTTTCAATCAGCTTGCAGTTTTTCAGCAAAACTTGTCTTCTGTGCATGAAATCTGGACGGACTTTGTAAAAAATTACAGCCCAAGTGTTTTATCTCTGAGAAAGTTTATATGGTCTTATGCAAGGCTCGGAGACCTAAAATCTGCGTGTATTTCATTGCAAAAGATGGTGGCTTTGGCTGTTGGAGCCGCAGGAGGAAAGTTACCCTCTTTAGAATTGGACATTCCTATACCTTCAAGCACTGAATTCTATCGTAACAATTTTAGTTTCGAGGATAATGAACATTCTTCTGATGAGTTATATCGTAAGAAATTGGTCACCTGCGATGATGACATAGGGCAGTTTTCTGTTAATGGAATGAAATGTGGAGATGAAAGTGGTCCATTAACTTTCCAGAACAATTGCAGAAGCAGTTTTGTTATGAAGGTTTTGAGATGGTCTTTCAATGATGTGATACACGCATGTGCGTTTACTAGGGACTGCGGTCTTGCAGAGCAGTTAATGCAACAGGTCTTATTTCTCTTCTTTAAGATGATTGTTATTTGATGATATAGCCAATGGGTGCAAGAAATCTTCAAAAAAAGTTTGTTCGGCAGATAAGTAAACTAATATATATATATTTATTTATTTAATAAATAATGTGTTTGAAATGCATTGAATAGTTGCAAGTTGGATTTTTCTTGCTCTTTCTCATTACTGCATTCTTGGAGAAACAACAATTATTATTTGATTATTTGTATCTTATGTTCATATTTTTATACTTTATTTAGTTTAGCATTTCAATTTTCACGTGTACTGACAATAGGGGCCATGTATTTGAAGATGCTTGATCTCGGATTGCAACCTTCATGCCACACATTTGATGGTTTTGTTAGATCAGTTGTTTCAGAGAGAGGTTTCAGTGATGGCATGAAAATTGTAAGTTTCTTTTTTTTGTTTTGGCTTTGTTTACATCTTGATTATCGTTACAAGCTTTTGTTGATTTTCGTTATGAGGCCAAAGATGTATTCACTCCCCCCAACCAAAAAAACCGTCCTCTTTTCCAGTTAAAAATAATGCAACAGAGGAAATTGAAGCCGTATGATTCAACTCTCGCTGCTGTTTCAATAAGTTGTAGCAAGGCGCTAGAACTTGATTTGGCTGAGGCTCTACTTGAACAAATTTCTGCTTGCCCTTACCCACACCCCTTCAATGCATTTCTTAAAGCATGTGATACGATGGTAAGTTAACAATTTTAAGGTGAAACTTCTTACTATAATTGTTTCTTTTGGTGCCTTCTATATGTTCTTAACTTTTTGAAGTTCAGTGCAACTAATATGCTGGAAGCACAAAGCTGAAGCTACTCAAGAATAGTTGGAAGTAGCATACAGTGTGGAAGAAATTATTGCAAAAGCACCTAATTATGTTTTATTCCGACCCATAACTTGGGCTTTTTTTTTGGCATCTGTTACAACTTACAAAAGTGGTGTTACTTTTATTTTCTTCTGGAGGGGTTATCATTGATTTGTGCGTTGGAGGAGGATTAAAATTATAAATGCAATCAAGTTTATGGGCTATAAAGGACCTGCCTATCTCATTGATTTGTGACGTTGGAGGAAGATTAAAATTATAAATGAAATCAAGTTTATGGGCTATAAAGGACCTGCCTATCAAAAGCGTTTATGATGATATATTTGTTTCTGTACCATATAGTTCTGTATTCATTTTGAATTATTGAGTCAAACTCAGATTGTGGTATACTTATTGCAGGATCAGCCTGAACGTGCCATGCGTATGTTGGTTAAAATGAAACAGTTGAAGGTGCTTCCAAATGTCAACACATATGAGCATTTGTATTCTTTATTTGGTAACGTGAATGCTCCATATGAGGAGGGCAACAGATTGTCACAGGCGGATGCTGGCAAAAGGATACGCATGATAGAGATGGATATGGCAAAACATGGGATTCAACACAGTAATTTATCTATGACGAACTTGGTAAGATGGCGACTATCCCCGCCCCCACCACCAGCACACACTCACACACAAGAAAGGGAAAAAAGAGATTGCAGTGGTACAATGTATTGACTGATGCTCTGGTCTGCTTATTACCTACGTCTGACTGGAGCACGTTGCCAGTCCCCATCTACTTCTCTCCTGAAATTATGAAATTATTTGACCCCCTTTTCGAAGTCTTTTTAATATTTTCTCCATAGTTTGTGTTTACTGTTTGTAACTTATTTTGTATCTACAGTACACGGCTCATATTTTGGGAAGAATATCTACTCAGGATCTAAGCATTTAATGTACTTTGATATATATGCTCCACTTAGAGAAATGTTTAACATTTAGGAAAGGTTTTGATGAATTAGGATGGATAAATTCCATTTAATTCAAGTTGCTGTATTTAGAACATACATTGTCTGCATACGCTCAATTTAATATCAAAATATTGTAGTAGTACCATTGATGTTATTATTGTATGTAGTCTTGATGATGAATTATAATATACTAGCTATGGAAAATGGCACGAATAAAACAGTCTACAGTTGAAAAAATTGCGCTGGTGAACAGTATTAGTTCTTCAATCATTAGTGGTTGGCACTAGAACATAGCAAGAAATGCATTAGTTTTACTCAAATTTTCTGAGCGCATAATTATATTTGTCTTTGCTTGTTACTAATTTTATAAAAACTTTCTACTTGAACCACAGTTGCAAATTGACGAATTACTTTTCCTCACTGCTTATGACATTAATGTTGTTACTATTTTTTCTTCGATTTTATTTGTTCCCTTTAGTTGAAAGCTCTAGGCGCAGAAGGGATGACGAAGGAGCTGCTTCAGTATTTAAGTGTTGCAGAGAACCTCTTCTATTATAATAACACTTATCTGGGAACGCCTGTTTACAACACAGTGTTGCATTTTTTAGTTGAATCCAAGGAAGTAAGTGCTTGTGCTCATGCACTCTCTTATGTTTGCTATAGAGGAGTTCAGACATTTGTGTTAAACAGATAATTCTATTCCATACTGTGCAGATTCACATGGCAATAGAATTATTCAATAATATGAAGCATTCTGGTTTCTTTCCAGATGCTGCGACATTTGAGATGATGGTTGACTGTTGTAGTGTCATGGAATGCTTGAAATCAGCTTTTGCCCTTCTTTCCATGATGGTCCGCACAGGGTTTTGTCCACAGATATTAACTTATACGAGTCTAGTGAAGGTATTTAATTTACTTATGCATGTGCATTTACTCATTGCAAGCATAATTTTAAAGCATTCATCTTGAGTTAAGGTATTAAGGTCTTTTGATGAAATCACTTTTTTGGACTATTAGCTATGCACTCATGTTTTTGTCCACTTGAATGTTTTTAGCATGCAATCTCATCATATTTTATATATTTTTCATTTTTTTTTCTGACCATGAAAAAGTTTTGTACTAAAACAGTAGGGTCCTTAGAATTCTACATTGGTTGACCTCCACAAGGATGCACTGTTTGTTATTTTACATATCAATAATTGCCTACCAATACTTCACTTTGCCCTTAATTTTTATTATTATTTTTTCTTTCTTTCTTTATTGTGTTATAATATTCAAATTTTAATGTTTGTACTATATCCTGATGCAGATTGTATTGAGATCTGAGGGATTTGATGATGCCTTGAATCTTTTGGATCAAGCCAGTTCAGAAGGGATTCAACTTGATGTAGTTATAATGAATACCATCTTGCTGAAAGCTTGTGAAAAGGTACCCTCGTCCCTCATGGCCTCATGTCACACTTAGTAGCAATGTTTAGAAAAATTTGTCAAACAGCACTTGATGTTTATACCAAAATACATTAAAAGCATTCAGTATACTCTTTAAGTCTTGCAGATTTCCATGGCTCCAACAACTATTTTAAATAAATGTATTTCCTTTCAAGCACATCAGACTTTGCCGCATTATCAGATTTTCCTAGTTTATTGTCAAAATAGCATATATACTTTTGTATCCCTTGTATGCGAAGCTCACTAATCATCATGTATCTTAAAAGCCAATAGCTATTATTATTACAATTTTAGACATTCTTGGGAAGAAAATCTTGTACACCTGAAATCATCACTTGTTTTTGTATGTATCTGTGATTTATTATACATGTGCTTAATAATTTCTATTGTAATTTTTGCTCATCTCTCTTTCTGGGTTCTTTTTTTGAAATGTATGTTAGGGAAGGGTTGATGTGATTGAGTTCGTCATTGAGAGGATGAATCGCGAAAAGATCCAACCTGACCCATCAACGTGCCATAGCGTCTTCTCTGCATATGTGAACCTCGGCTATCACAGCACCGCTATGGAAGCACTTCAAGTACTGAGTATGCGTATGCTGTCCAAAGAAGAAGATGCCTCTCCAGACTTGACAGAATATGTCGAAAACTTTGTCCTTGCCGAAGACCCCGGAGCCGATTTGCGAATTTTGGAATTCTTCAAATGCTCTGAAGAGAGCCTGAGCTTTGCCCTCTTCAACTTGAGATGGTCTGCCATGCTGGGATATTCGCTATGTTCTTCCCCTAATCAGAGCCCGTGGGCAATGAGACTTGCAAATTCCTATGATGCCAACAGAAGTTCATAGATTCAATCAATCAGAATCTCATTGTTATACTCTACCTAAGTTAAGTGCAAATTCATATTGTGTTTTGTGTAAGAATGACTCGGTAAAATATTACATTTTTTTAGATCTAGCGATTCAACATTGTGCCAAAGCAGTTTCAAAATTTTGTCCCGCTATTCATTGAGGGAGTGCCGAAAATGAATAAAATGATTATCTTTGTCTCATTATACCATTAATGGAAGACATCAACATGGCACGTTCATTAATTTGTTACATGTTACATCATATAAACTTTAGTGGGTATGTCAATGTTAACCATTCTTTTGGTGATAGTGAAAACTAAAAATACGAACTGTTATAACATCTTCCTCGTTAAACTTGGAAGAAGCTGGTTCAGTGAGGCGTAGTGGGTGAACAAAGATTATCCCGATTTAGGCCATTGAATTGAAGCAATCCACAGCGACGTCGTACAGTCTGATTGGAGCTGGTAGACAGTTTGGTCGATACTTGAAACAAATTATTATCCAATTTAAGCAAAAAAAGAAGTAAAAAACAGAAAAAAAGATAAAAGGCGAAAATTGTTAAAGAGTACGGAATTCAGGAGTCACATGCATTGTTAAGGCGGAAGAGAAGGGTAGAACTGGAATTAGAAAAATAAGAAAAGGCAGTGTCAGAAAAGGGAGCCAAAATGGGCCGGCCAGCCCACAACTCTCCGACGAATCGGTTGTGTTTCCGAGACAATAAGCTATATATTTGATTTCCCGATTCCATTGTCGTTATTTGAGTGTTCCTTTTTTCAGAAAAAAAAAAGAAAAAAGAAAAAAGATGAAGGTTCTCCACCGGGCTATGCTGGAGCCGTAGCACACAGAGATCCATTCTCAATTCTCATTTTCCTTTCATCTTTTTTTCTTTTTCCCTTTTTCTTCTTTTTGTCTTCAGGAAAATTTCTCCCCTCCAATCGGAGTGCAGAGATACAGCGAGCAGAGAGAGACAGGAGCTTCGGTGGTCACTGTCACCAGGAGCCATGGCTTTTCAGCGGCGGCGCAACCACTATTATCATCGCTTTAGATTCTTGATCCCATTCATTTCGGCCACTTTCGGTGCCCTCCTTCTCTTCTTTGCACTTCTCTCCTTTCTCGCTCCTACTCCCATTGATTCCGATCATCCCCGCCGCATTCTTCCGGTATATACTCCGAGCTGTCTTTGTATTTATTTATTTATTTTTGTGGTTTAATTTGATTCTTTTTGTTTGTAATTGCTGAATTCTGTTTACTGGAATAGGTTAAGTTCGATGCTGCTTCCGACGAGGCGATTGAAGTTTCGCATTTTCGTGTTCCGGTTAGGGTTTTCTGGAATTTGATACTTCGGCGTCTTTTACTGTTTCTGCTGGTTGATGCTGGGGCTGAGACAGCTCTTTGTTTGCTTAACGTGATTTCTTGATTTTCGAACCAGCGCAATGGAGCGAGATCCGGTCGTGATCTTTGGACTTCCAGAAATGCGAAGTTCTACTCTGGATGTAGTAATGCTAGCAACAAGTTCCAGAGTACGTTCCAGATAAATTCCAGCTCCTCCCCATCCCCCACTCTGCTGGTTATATATGCTTATGTTGCGTTCAATAGTTAAGGTTCTTATCTGTTTAGCGATTGAAAGGAATTAAGTTACCGACTTTTTTTTTTTGACGATTTAGAGATGATTAGATCCCTAAATTAATCTTTTTAAATAATGTTGTTTCCAGGTTTTTATTTTTCCAAAATTTTTTACTGATCTTGAAAATGAAAGAGAAACGAGTTCATGTGAAACCTGGTTGTTCACTGCTCGCATTTTATATGGTTTCCTAACTTTTCGCTTGAGAAACAGAAGAACTGATGTTTTTCCATTTTGATGCAGAAGTTAATGTTATTACGCATCCGAATCGTTACTTGGTGATAGCTACCAGTGGAGGTTTAAATCAACAAAGAACTGGGGTAATGTCACGGGCTTGCATTTTTCTTGTTGAGGATTTTGTATTTGCGTTGCTATTACTAAGCCATAAAGATAGATTAGGAGGACCTCAATGAAAAATGGACATTATATGAAATGATGACAGGGAAAATGACGTACATATGTGAAAAGTGGTTCTATATTCAAAATGCTAGTACGAGTTTGATGTGTAGTGAGTGGTAATAATATGCACAGGCCATGCAGCTGTTGGCTATTGCCGTATTAATTGTGCATACCTTCCATAGCTGCAACGCCCTCTGTTCAAACACTCTCGGATTATTGTGTTGCTGTCTATCCTTTTGGTTTCAGAATCTGAATTGATTTCTTTATTTCTAGCTAAATTTTGATAAGATTACTTCTAGCTATTTTTAAGCTGACTGAAGCTCCTAATGGCAGATAACAGATGCAGTAGTTGCAGCACGCATATTAAATGCTACTCTTGTTGTGCCTAAGCTTGATCAGAAGTCCTTTTGGAAGGATTCCAGGTTGGTTACACTTTATAAAATAAATGTATACCAGCCTACTTGCAGTTTCTATGAATGGTTGTCACTATTAAAATTTTAAGCAACACTTCTGCCTTTTTTTCTCCTCGTTATATTGTGGAAATGTGTTTATTCATTATTGTTTCTCAACAGCAACTTTTCAGAGATCTTCAATGTTGATTGGTTTGTATCATTCCTGTCAAAAGATGTTAAAATCATTAATCAGCTACCAAAGAGGGGTGGCAAAACATGGAATACACACTCAATGCGCGTCCCCAGGAAGTGTAGTGAAAGATGTTATCAGAACCGTGTATTGCCTGTTCTTTTGAAAAGGCATGTAAGTTTTTCGTTCATACAACCCATTTGATTAAACAAATATGAAACTTTTATTATTGTTCAGCTTCCAAATATCAATGTGAGTTTAGATTTCTTATATGTGTTTCAATTGCATGCCTTTCTTAAAAACCTTGTACAGTGAGTCTGTGACTGCTCCTTTTTGTGCTTTTGCTATGTCTCAAGGTTATATTAATTTTAAAATATATACTCAGAAATATTCATAATGTGTCAGGCTATTCAGCTATCCAAGTTTGATTACAGACTAGCAAATAAGTTGGAGACAGATTTACAGAAACTGAGATGTAGAGTTAACTACCATGCTTTGAAATTCACAGACCCAATACAGAAGATGGGTGAAAAATTGGTCCATCGAATGCGAGCAAGGAGCAAGCATTACATTACTTTGCACCTCAGGTACATGGTCATAAGCCCTTCATCCTAAATTATTGTAGTTGTCATTATTGTCTTATTACAGCACATGCTTTTTTTCACCGGTGTATTGTTCTCAAATGATTTATTTTGTAATAGTTGTTCATCAGAAATTGCTTTGATGGACTGAAATGCCCTTTTTTTGTGTTGGCTTATGGCTCTATTTACATGCACAGAAACACATTTAGTTTTACAAAGGTATTCATATTTTCTGTAGGTGTTCTTTTATAGTCTTCTGTAGCTGAAAGTATAAATTCATTTCACTTTTTTTTACACACGCTGCTTCCATCAAAATTGCTCTCTAAATAAATAAATTTCCTGGTCTGAGTGAAGGGTCTTAATGTGCATAAGGTATTGTAGAATAAGAGTTTGTTTACTCTATTGAAGCCATGCGCTTCTCAAAGCATACTGATGCTTATTGCAGAATTGGGACATCAATTGTGATTTGATCCAGCCATTTGTGTATTACCGTAGGTTTGAGCCAGATATGCTAGCATTCTCAGGTTGCTATTATGGTGGAGGTGAAAAGGAAAGGAGAGAACTTGGGGCAATTCGAAGGCGATGGAAAACATTACACGTAAGGCTCTAGTTTTAATTATGTGAATCAATTTGTTTGATTCATGTGCAGAAAATCCAATGCTTATCAGTTATCACCAATATATGTCAAATATAGTGCAATTGACTAGTAAAGTGGCTTTTGTGTTGAATAACAATGGGGGCAATATTGGGGGTCCTGGGGTTGGTTTGCCATAAGTAATCCTTGTTTGTGGAATATGGTAAATAGAGGAACAATGGTGGGCCCTCTATAAAGATTCTGATCTCGTATGTAAGCAAAATTTGTCTAAAATATTTATACTTCCTGATATTAAAATGAGCCTTTTTTCTACGTTCTGGTTCAAACTCAAGATGGCAACCAAAGTAACACGTCTAGTCTGATCTGTTCTATAAAACTCCTTTGAATTTATTTCAGCAGGCAAGCAATCCTGATAAGGAAAGGAGGCATGGAAAATGCCCACTGACTCCAGAAGAGGTCGGTTTGATGCTAAGAGCACTGGGATATGGCCAGGATGTCCATATCTATGTGGCATCTGGAGAAGTATATGGAGGGGAAGAAACACTTGCCCCTTTGAAAGCACTTTTTCCCAATTTCCATTCAAAAGAGACCATAGCTTCCAAGGAGGAATTGGAGTCATTTTCTTCATATTCCTCTCGCATGGCTGCACTTGATTTCATTGTCTGCGATGAGAGTGATGTTTTTGTCACCA